AGAAAAGGTATCCTTACTCTCAGGAGGTCCCCTATGGTCTCTCTCCATAGGTACAGGTCACCAGAAGAGCCCCTTTAGTCTGAACTAAGCTTATAAAAGTAAGAATTAGCTTGCCAGAGATCAGGATAACCAGAAGCTCTACCATTATGCTGTGAGCAGGCTGACCATTTCTAGGGGTAATCAAAAGAGCAAAAGTTAACAAGCATGTTTTAAAAAGAATATGCTCTAATCTTCTCTTATCAGACAATAGAACAAACCCCCCCCATGAAGTCACATACTGGTACCAGTTCAGGCAACGCAGGCAAACAACAATGAGACAGGAAGACAAATAAACCTAAATGTAAGGACAGCAGGAAACAAGAGCTTCCCCCCCCTTACACACAATCCCACAGTACCTAAACAGAAGTCAAAGACAGCCCAATAATACTATTGCAATAAAGACATAAAATAAACACAGCAATAAAATATACAAACTAATAGAAGCAAAAAGTAGCCCCTGACCTGAGCTTAAATACAGAGCTGGGGCCAATGGGGAAGGGTGTGTGGCTGGGGAGGCTCCAGGTGAGGCCATCGGGGTGATGGGGACCTGCTGGGCACCCTGAAACCCTCTCTCAGCTGCAGCTGAACCCAAGCAGCTCTGACATCTCCACTGTCATCTCCAGGGCTGCCCTTCCAGCCAGGCTCTTGCATCCTTTAGAGCGAAGGGGGAGCAGAAACAGCACCTCAAAGTGTCTTCTCAGGAGTGACATACAGGGAGGGCAAACGGTGAGAAGTGTCTGTGGGGTGTCAAGAGTCACCCTGCACACCATGGTCTGGCATCTGTGGCATCAAATCTGACTGTGTGGGGCATTCACTCCTTTGTTTTCTCATTAGAAGAGGCAAATGATGGGCACAGATTATGAACTGATTGCTTACTATTTGATTTCCCCACTGCCCTTCAAACCAGTCCACAGCACCTGAAATCAGAGAGACCCATTTAAAATAATACCTTTTGGAACAAGGGAGAAACATCTCCAGTTCTCCCAGATCCCCGACCCATCCCCAGCACATCAAGGGCAGTACCAGGCTGTCACCATCTGTGGCCAGCAGCACAGGTGGTCTTGTTTTGGGATCTCATTTGTTCTTGGATTTCAGAAGTAAAATACCAGGACACAACCAACGTATAGCTCCAGGAAAGCACTGAAAGGGCACCCAGTGGGTATAAGGTGGCACCTTGTGCTCTTCTTTCTCCTCTGTGGCTTAACTGCTGTTCTCTGTCTCTTACTAGATGAGAATTCAACAGGAAACAGGTTTTGGCCATGGTAACTTTCTGTGGCCTGTGACAGCAGCTGCAACTGGAGACTGAGTTGCAGCCAGGCAGTTGCTCAGGGTTGGGAGGAAAATGGGCCTGGGGTGACTTTGCTGGTGTCTGTGGGGCAAGGACCATTTTCAGGGCAGAGACGTGAGGGGCGCATTACACTCAGGCGAGCTCAGCAGCACGGGCTGGGATATGAGACACAGTGTGAGTGCAGAATGGCAGAGGAGTTGGATCTGAGACACCCAAGGCCTTTGGCATTTCACTGGAGCACACCCAGCTGTGATGTTGCACCATGTCGCAGCCATAGAGCTGCAGGAAGGCTGCAGCAGAGGTGCAAAGTGAGTCCTGGACACATCTAAGCTCATCTTTAAAGACCCTGCCTTACAAAAGCAGCCAGGATCCAGTCTGGCCAGGCAGGGCAGGGGCCCAAATCCCACCGCAGATGGATTTCCAGCAGCAACAGCTCCTGTGGCTCTGAAGGGTTTGGGTTAGGTCTGGTTGAGAGGAAGCTGAGGGTTAGTTTGCAGCAACAGCTGCTGGAAACCTGTTTGGAGCAGGTTTAGGGTGTGTGTTCATTCCTGCCTTAATTTCTCACTCTGTGTCTCAAGATGCTTTACTGACTGACCATGACTGGGATGGTGCAACATTGCCAGGGCAATGAAGGAGTGGTGGTTTTGTAGAACTGGAGTTCAGAATTCCATAGAGCAAGGAATTCCTTCCAGCTCCCAGAGCTTGGCAACAGTAGCAGACTGATCAGTGAACCTGCTGGATAAGAGGAAGGGCAACAACTTCAGAAGGAGGAGGGAGGCAGGTATGGTTGTGACAAGCCCAGGCAAACAGAGGACACCTGTGCTCCTACAGGAACCTGGTTCATGATAACACGAAAAATGACCCCCTGAGATAGGAAACCTTTGCCCACACAGACTCCTACTCATGGGACGTGTCGTTCCGCCTGAGGAACACGCACCTTGCTCTCCCCTATTCCATACAACAGCGCTTCCCGTGTTCTGGACAGCCGGGAATGCTGCTCCCGGAGCACCTCCCTGCCCTCGACCCTCTTGTTCTCGCTTCTTCCACTAGGGGACGGCACCACACCACCCCTCCTCGCCATTGGGGGCGGTAGCGCTGGGGTAAGGGGCAGTGGGATCCACGGAGCTGTGCTGAGGGCAGCGCTGTCCCGGGGCGGGCGCCGGCGGCACAGACACTGCAGCCGCCCATTGCTGGGGTCTGTGTTCGAGGGGGGTGTTCCTGAGCTGCACCCGCGGACACGACTCCCGCCCCTGTCCCACATGGTGTGCTTGGGGTCGGCATGGAGCTGCGGCATAGGAAGAAAAAGCAGCTTTTTTACGCCTGTGCAGCTGCTGCCGTTGATCGTTCCCGCACACCGCTATTGGCGTGTTCTCGGCTTGCTTTAACGACTTTTGGGTGTGTTTTCCAGAGCCAAATGGCATGACCGGGAAGCGACGTGGCCTCGCCTCAGCCGCAAGATGGCGCCGCGGCCCTTCAGGAGGGAAGGTCTCCCTGAGGGGATCGGGGTCCGTGAGGTGATCCCCCGCTCGCTTCTCACCCTGACCGGTTGTTGATGATGGCAAAGCCTTTGGACGCACCAAACCAAATACAGATAAGCAAAATTTACAGGAATGTGGTCAGGTGCCTTTACTGTCAGCCACCACACATTCGAGGGTTGTTTCGGCGACAGAAGGGCCTCAGGTACTCTAGTAGCTGGGCTCTATACGGACATCTATAAACAGAAGCAAACTGTTTTGCACAGGTTTTGTGTCCATCGCTGGGCAGAAGTGAATTTCAGCCCTGAAGAGCAGCCAGCCATTTCCTGTCCTCTCATCTTTGCAGTCTCCAAGGGTCAGGAGAAGATGTGGTGGCTGAAGCTGGCGGTGGAGGGCTGAGAGGCTCCATGTTGTATTTAGCAAAGCATGTAAAATGCAGGGATCTGGGGAAGCTCGTGCACTGCTCCTGCATAAAGAACAGCATTGGACAGAGGAGTCAGAGGCAAGAAGCACCGTTTTCCCTGCTCTGAAGAAAAGGCTGGTGAGTCTGACTGTGGTAAAACATAGAGGAAGGCATTTCCACTGCAGCTGGTTATGGACCCTGCCTGTGAGTGTGGTCATCTCCTGCAGGAGCAAGGAAAGGTACTGCCAAAGATGTCTTTAGCTGTGTGTCAGGCATATTTGATCAAATCTCAAATAGGTCCCTATATAGCCTGATAGCCTAAGGTCCTAGCTAACAAAAACCAGTACATCATTCTGGAGTTATTGACCTCTGATCTGAGTGTCTGCCCCTTTCTTTTCACTCCTCTCTGCCTCAAGGCTAATCAACAGAGCTTGCAAACCTATAAGAAATCAGATCAAAATCAGCTTTATATACAAAACCTAAAATAAAACATCTGTATATATCCCAGAAGCCTTCACAACCTCCTGGTTTATTAGTATCTCTAAAATAACTTTTCTTTCCTGACTCTAATTCCAGCCAGAAGCACTCAGATAATCCTCACAGGACTGTTATGTGTATTTCCAATTAGAGCAATTTATAAGCACTGGCTGTGAGGAGCTTTTTGTTCTTAAGGAAATTATTTCTTCATTAAGCGTAAAACAAGTCTTTTTTTATCCCTGCTTTATCTGAAAGCCCTTGTGCCCCCATCACATGTGGTTTTAAGTACTGAACTACATAGAAGACGATTAATCATCTTGTATCCCAACAAGCAGTCAAGACATGGCAGCTGGGCCAGCCACACAGGGAATAGGCTTTTCAGTGTTTGTTTTCAGAGACAAGTAAAAGTCAGACAGACAGACACTTACTTTCAAGCTACTTGCCTTTGCCAGAGGCAACCCACACAATCATGAGCCCTTCTGGAGTCTGAGTCATGAAGAACTGCTGCAGATAAAATGAAGACAGTCAAGAGGAAAAAACCCAAACCCATTCATACCCAGTTAATGAGTAGAAGTTCCAAATTGCCTCTTGTTTTGCAGGCTCTGTACGTTAATTAGATGAATCACAGATCACTGAGGGTGGAAAACGCAGGCCACAGAGCTCATAAGGGTCCAGTTCATTCTTTTACATTAGCAGTATTATCTAGTTCCCTGCTAGGGAAGAATGTCCCTCCATTTTCTTTGTCAACAGTGTCTCCTGGCATGAGGCATGAACCAGCATGGAAAGTTAAGAGCAGGAATGATACGTGATTGACTTGAGCTAGTAGCACAACCCCTCTATTCCTGTTATCCCCAAATCCAACTCTTTATACTTTCTCTAAAGGCATTTATCATCCCTCTTTATAGTCAAGGTCAGATCCATGACAGAGCAGCAATATGAGGGATGAGCTTCAAAGTGATGACCCACTTGGCTGTGTTAGGAATTGACTCATAAGAAAGCCGCCTGATGTGGGAACAGAAAGATATGAGCCTTGGGCATTCCTGGGACTCTGGGAAGAAACCCCATGTTAGCCTAATAAGTAAATTGCATTCTCTTCATCTTTCTCTAAGACAGATGAGGAGACAGTTCTTGAATGTTTATGATTGATATCTAGTATCAGGTTACAGTAACAAGTGTAGAGACATGGAAGAAATGGTAACAGAAAATGTGATTAGTACAGTCAGTAAACAACAAAGCTACAGAAATGGATGAGATCAACACATTGTGTAAGCCTGTGCCAATGCTTAGCTTGAACAGCATCAGTGGAAAATGTGTCATGTATTGGAACCACCAGTAGAACCACCAGCCCCATGTGTTCCTCCCAGGAATGGCTGTGGCAAATGGCTGATGGTAATGGAGCTCATATTGGTGTGTTCAAGTGTATAATTCAGTGTAGACATCATATAGTTCAGTGAAGAGACAAAGAATACAGAATGAATTTAAAACCTTATCATGACATGGTCAGTAACACCATTTATCATCTCCGTTTCCGTTACTGAATGGGGTTTTTCTTAGCAGCAAAAAGAAGTGCATGGTGGTAGTTCCCTTAAGCAAGCCTTGTGTATTTTGGTTGTTATGGTTTTATCGTGTCTGTCTTAAAGGGAAATGCATTTTGAAGAGGCATTTAAAGGAAGACGAGGTAATACCTGTCATTTTGCATAATTCCTGAGACAATGACAGCTCTACTGGCAAATGGAGAGTCACTGATCTGCTGGGTCAGAAAACCCACTCACATATGTCATGTCAGCATGAGAGAAAGGAAGAGGATAGAGACACAAAGAACAGAAACAGCTGGCTGATGCACTAGTAAAGAAGATCGCTACTGGTGCTGCCAGGAAAAAGTGGCGGGTCATAGTAGTAGGGGACTCTACTTTGAAAGGGACAGAAGCACTTGTCTGTCGGCCTGACCTGGTCTCAAGGGAGGTGTGTTGCCTACCAGAGGCATGGATCAGGGATGTTGCAGAGAGGCTGCCTGCTCTAGTAAGTCCCACGGACTATTACCCACTTCTGGTGATACATGTGGGTGCTAGGGATATAGATAGTAGTAGCCTGGGGAACATAAAGAAGGACTACAGAGCCCTGGGAGAGGTAGTTAGGGGCTCTGGAGCTCAGATAGTCTGTTCGTCAATTCTCCAGGTTACAAGGGAGGACCTAAAAAAACCTAGGAGGATTAGCCAGGTTAATAAATGGTTAAAAGGGTGGTGTCACAGTCAGGGGTTTGGGTGTCTTGAACACGGGACCCAAGTTTATAGGCCAGGTCTAGTGGGGGCTGTTGGAGCTTGTCTGATAAAAGCAGTTTTGGTAGGAGGCTTGCCAGACTGGTCAAGGAGGCTTTAAACTAGATGTGTTGGGGGAGGGGGGCATCATTCCATCCCAACGCACCCAGTCAGTTGCCAGCACCTACAATAAATGCTTGGAGCAATGTAGATATATTCCAGCTGCTCCAGCCAATGAGCCAGCTTCATTTGGAGCTCGGCTCAGATGCCTCTATATAAATGCCCATAGCGTGGAGAACAAACAAGAGGAATTAGAGATGTGTGCACGTCTACGGGGTTATGATATTATAGGCATCACAGAAACTTGGTGGGATGGCTCCTATGACTGGAGTGTTGGAATGGAAGGTTACAGACTCTTCAGAAAAGACAGGCCTGGCAGGCGCGGAGGGGGAGTTGCCCTTTATGTTAGGGATAGGCTGGAGTGTATGGAACTCTGTCTGGGGACAGGTGAGCAGATAACAGAGAGCTTGTGGGTTAGGGTTAAAGGGAAAACAGTGATGGGAGACATTACTGTGGGGATATGTTATAGACCACCTGATCAAGAGGAATCTGCGGGTGAAGCACTCCATAGGCAGATAGGAAAAGCCTCACGCTCACAGGCCCTCGTTCTCATGGGTGACTTCAACCACCCTGACATCTGTTGGAATGACGGTATGGCCCGGCACAAGCAATCCAGGAGGTTCCTCAGTTGTGTGGAAGACAACTTCCTTCTGCAAGTAATAGAGGAGCCGACAAGGAGAACTGCCATGCTTGACCTTGTGCTCACCAACAGGGAAGGGCTCGTTGGAAATGTGACGCTCCAGGGCAGCCTTGGATGCAGCAACCACGAGATGGTCGAATTTGAGATCCTTAGGACAGTGAGAAGAGCGTGCAGCAAGCTCACTGCCCTGGACGTCAAGAGAGCAGAATTTGGCCTCTTCAGGAACCTGCTTAGTAAGGTTCCATGGGATATAGCCCTAGAGGGCAGGGTGGCCAAGACTCTTGGTTGATATTCAAGGATCATCTGCTACAAGCTCAGGAGTGTTGCATCCCAACTAGAAGGAAGTGCAGCAGGAGGGCCAGGAGACCTCCTTGGATGGATAAGGAGCTGCTGAGGAAAATTCAAATGAAAAAAGAGGCTTATAGAAAGTGGAAGCAAGGACAGGCAGCCTGGGAAGAATACAGGGATGTTGTCCAGGAAGCTAGGGACCAGGTTAGGAAAGCTAAGGCCCAGTTAGAATTAAACTTGGCTAGGGATATTAAGGATAACAGGAAGGGATTCTACAGGTACATAGCAAATAAAAAACAGACTAGGGAGAATGCAGGCCTCCTCAGGAAGCTCTTGTGAGAACTAGCTATACAGGATTTGGAGAAGGCTGAGGTTCTGAATGACTTCTTTGCCTTGGTCCTCACTGGCAAATGCTCTGACCACACCACCCAAGTCTTGGAAGGCAGACACAGGGATTGTGAGAATCAAGACCTCAGGCCCACTGTAGGAGAGGAACCAGTTCGAGACCATCTTAAGAACCTGAATGCGCACAAGTCCATGGGAGCTGATGAAGTCCATCCACGGGTCCTGAAGGAGCTGGCAAATGAAGTTGCTAAGCCACTGGCCATCATATTTGAAAAATCATGGCAGTCAGGTGAAGTTCCCAATGACTGGAAAAAGGGAAATATAACCCCCATTTTCAAGAAGGGGAAAATGGATGACCCGGGGAATTACAGACCAGTCAGTCTCACCTCCGTGCCTGGCAAAATCTTGGAGCAGATTCTCCTGGAAGGCATGCTAAGGCACATGAAAATCAACAAGGTGCTTGGTGACAGCCAGCATGGCTTCACTAAGGGGAAATCCTACCTGACCAATTTGGTGGCCTTCTATGATGGGGCTACAGAACTGATGGACAGCGGTAGAGCAGTTGACGTCATCTACCTGGACTTGTATAAAGCGTTCGACACTGTCCCACACGACATCCTTGTCTCTAAATTGGAGAGACATCAATTTGATGGATGGACCACTTGGTGGATAAAGAACTGGCTGGATGGCCACACACAAAGAGTTGTGGTCAATGGCTCAATGTCCAGCTGGAGACCAGTAACGAGTGGTGTCCTTCAGGGATTGGTGTTGGGACCAGTCTTGTTCAACATCTTTGTCAGTGACATGGACAGTGAGATTGAGTGCACCCTCAGCAAGTTTGCCGATGACACCAAGCTGTGTGGTTCGGTTGATACGCTGGAGGGAAGGAATGCCATCCAGAGGGACCTTGACACTCTTGTGAGGTGGGCTGATGCCAACCTCATGAAGTTTAACCATGCCAAGTGCAAGGTCCTAGGCATGGGTCGGAGCAATCCCAGGCACAGCTACAGGCTGGGCAGAGAAGAGATTCAGAGCAGCCCTGCGGAGAAGGACTTGGGGGTGTTGGTTGATGAGAAAATGAACATGAACCGGCTTCAGTGTGCCCTTGCAGCCCAGAAAGCCAACTGTATGCTGGGCTGCATCAAAAGGAGTGTGACCAGCAGGTCGAAGGAGGTGATCCTGCCCCTTTACTCTGCTCTTGTGAGACCTCACTTGGAGTATTGTGTGCAGTTCTGGTGTCCTCAACATAAAAAGGACATGGAACTGTTGGAACAAGTCCAGAGGAGGGCCACGAGGACGATCAGGGGACTGGAGCACCTCCTGTATGAAGATAGGTTGAGAAAGTTGGGACTGTTCAGCCTGGAGAAGAGAAGGCTGCGTGGAGACCTCATAACAGCCTTCCAGTATCTTAAGGGGGCCTATAGGGATGCCGGGGATGGACTCTTCATTAGGGACTGTAGTGGTAGGACAAGGGGTAATGGGTTCAAACTTAAAACAGGTGAAGTTTAGACTGGATATAAGGAGGAAATTCTTTCCTGTTAGGGCGGTGAGGCACAGGAATGGGTTGCCCATGAGGTTGTGAATGCTCCATCCCTGGCAGTGTTCAAGACCAGGTTGGATGAGGCCTTGGGTGATATGGTTTAGTGTGAGGTGTCCCTGCCCATGGCAGGGGGGTTGGAACTCGATGATCTTAAGGTCCTTTCCAACCCTAACTATTCTATGATTCTATGATTCTAAGTCATAGTTGGTGCTCAGAGTCAGCACTGTTGTCAGAGTGGAGGGGAGAACAGCAAAGTAAATGTCAGAAAAGGATAAGCAGGTTGATAATGGCGCTGTGGAAAGCAGAGATGTGTAAAAAACAATGCTGTAGTGGGAAAATCAGGACAAGGAGGGAAAAGTAAGTATTAATGTACTGTAATTATGCACAGCATAAGGTTATCTAGAAGCTGTGCTGTGCACTGGGTGTAGTATCAGAGAAGCCACAATATGGGGGATAATGTCAGAAGATAAGGTAAAAGTGGGGAAGAGCATGACCTATTCTGGCTCTTAGAAACATTGCAGAAGAAGAATCACTGGGGTTTAGGTATAGGCTAATGTGCAAAAGAGTATGGAGAGCAACCGGATCTGTCTGGCTACTTACCTGAAGGAAAAGGGACATGACAGCATCTTAGTTATAAAAAAAAAAGAGAACAAGAAGAGGCAGCCAAAGAGAAAGATGGGGATTTAATTTGCTTGGTGTTCAGTGAGCAAGAGACGTGGGGGTGGCAATGTTGCCAAAGCAAAGCTGAGGTGAGGGAAATAGATTAGAAGTGGTGAGTCAGATGTGTGAGCTCACAGTTGCACAGCTGATATTTGAAGCTTCAGGAAGAGTGAGTATCATATGAAGCTCTGAGGGGGCATTTCTTCCTGGATTTTATAGTTCAGATCCTGTCAGAAAACACAGTTCAACAACCGTTAGTCATCACAAACGTGTAAGAGCATATTAGAAGCAAAGAAGAGAAAGGCAGAGCAGTGGCAGGAATATTCCTTGGGTAGAGGAATTTGAGAGAAAATCCCTTTCAGATTTAGACCCTCACTGACGACCTCATCTCTCAGGGGAACCTTTTGTGAATAAAGGTTTAGGACGTGTGTTGACTGCTGTAAAGTCTTTTCTGTAGCCAGTCCAGGCAGTATCTAACTGGATGATACATAACACATGAACCATGGAGGCACAAGTCATATTTCTGTCTGCAGTTGCACTC